AGCTGAAATGTCAATGATGTGCGCAACGACAGAAGGGCTCTCAGAATTTGGCAAAGAGTATCTCTTACTGAAGCAAAAACAAGTATTAGAGCAGAAGAAGAAACAAACGCTGACGGAAAAATAAAACAAGGTGAATATATTTCTCTCTTTAGTATTTAGATGCAATGTGCTCAACCAAATCCTTTTTTAGTTTACAGTGAGAGGCGGAATTCATCACACATCTGTACTTCTCAATAAACGAAGTAGGCAACGTGTCTGATGCGTGAATAGGGAGATGTTGAAATTTGTGACGTCGATATCCAGATCGAGAAGCTGTGTACGAGTACACAGAATGGGAAGTGTTCTGGCCACTTGCAAGGTCATCACTAATGATCATGTTGTGAAGTATGCATTTTCTTCAGTTTTTCTAAGGACCAACACCGTGCAGGTCTAGCCACAACTGCAAACCGAGATTGTAAGACTCCAAATGCACGTTCCACATCCTTACGAAATGCTCCCTGGCACGATGCAAATTTCTGCTGTTTCTCATCTGCGGGTGCCGAGATGGTTTTTACAAAACATTTCCAATCTGAATAGATCCCGTCCGCTAAATAGTAAAAAAAAAAAGTCGTAGGTAGAGCCACATATTTCGTACGAAAATTTAGGCAAACTATCATCTATGTACTCGTCAATTAATGGTGACGCATCTAGCACATTGATGTCATTATTGCTACCTGGCATATCAATAAAAGCATGCCAAATACGCAAATCAGCCGTAGCGATGGCTTCCAAAACGACAGTTGTCTTTTAAGAGGCGCCTTGAAAAGCCCCATACCATGAGCTAGGACAGTTTCTCCATTGCCACTTCATACAGTCTATGGATCCCAACAAGCCAGGGAACCCACGCGCCGCATTAATCTCCAAAATTGAATCCATGTCTTCTTTTGTTGGAAGACGTAGATGGTAAGGTCCATAGAGTTTTATTACAGCTTCAGTAAACTTATCCAAGGCTTCTCATACTGTAGACTCACCCATTCAAAACGTTTTATCCAATGAAACGGCAGAACAACCATAAGCTAGCATTCTCAATGCTGCTGTGACTTTAATAGCAGGATGCACACCTTTTTCCCAGTGCAGTCCTGCTTCCACGTAAAATATGGGTCGTAGCTTCCAATAGCATCTAGAAGAGATAAAAACAAGGCCTTGCTCATACGGAAACGTCGTCTAAACTTCTCGTCAGTGTACATGAGTCTCTCTCCAAAATACATTTTGCTGAACCGGTTGTAGGCAGCTACGTGATCTCGTTCAACGTTGGGGCTTCTGCCAGGCCGCGAACCACCGGGTTCCACTTGCGTGAGCGTCGTTTCCGTCGAATATAAGCCAGAGAGATAGAAAGATTCAGAGCGTGAGTGCTCGACATATTCATAGTTTCCAAAGGTTTCGAAAATGCTGTTTGTAAAGATAAAACTACGCTGCAAATAGGAAATGTGCAATACAACCATTGGAACTGGCAATTGAATTGTGTAAAAAAGGCCTTTTCTATGATGAACTCGGGGGCGCAATTCCCGATTCACTCTAGATAATCACGTTTGCAATACACAATACCGATGGAGGTGCTCTAAGAGCACCTCCATCAGTATAGTGTATTGCAAAAGTAATGTGCACTGTTCCAAGCTAAAGGTATTTGGGTCCATTTTTTGTGGTACATGCATGGATGGGAATTGATGGCTAAGACTGTTGAGGGGATCGTCTGTACGTATTCAAAAATTATGAATCATAGATGCTGTACAATAGCAATAAAATTCTAAAAAAACAAGATCATTAAGAGATTGTAAATGTAGAGACGAGATCAAACGATGGCGTGTGAGGCTCTGAGCCTTTGGCTTACACTCACGATGAGCTCGATGATAAGCTGCCGCTAAACCTGAGATGTGGGCGATGCTAATTCACGTAGGTTTCCTTACTATAATTTATCAAAATATACTTTATGGCGTGGCAAACCCAAAAAATACCAACACGTGTAGTGAACTTTCACGTCAACTAGAGGTGTTTCTTGTAAACAAATCACACAATAGAGGTCTTTAGCAGAACTGTGCAATCCAGAAAATACTGTTTACCATGTGGAATTTCTGCCTAACCTCGCTGATGAAGCGACAAGTTTGAATAGGTAGGTGGCTTCAAATCCACCACTTCGAAAGGAAATTCGTGTTGTATCATATGCTAAGTTCTTTCCTTAAATCGTACTGAAAGCAGCGGTAGAGCTGAGGTGGAATAGAAAGTTGGGTAGCGTCCTCACGCGCGATCTCTATTTCTGCTAGGCACTTATAGAAACTCGCTGTCCCCATCCCAACTCGACAAAGAATCCCCGCAATGTCGCCAAGCCAAGAAGACGGTAACGATGTGCTCTTAGTTGTGCGGCAACTAACATCAAGAGTGCGCCGCCACCACAAGGTTGTGTTTTTGTTTCGGCTCTGGAGGCAAGCAATGGACGAAGGAAACGCCGTTATTTCGGCAGCACTTTTCTCGTTTTTAGCGACTGAACTCCCAGTGGAGGCAGCACGTCACGCACCGTACAATTTTAATGCTCTTTCTAACGACCAGTGCGTCGAAAGATTTTGGTTTACAAAGGTGCAGATTGTGGAACTTGCGACGCTATTTGGTTTAGAAGGCATTCGGACTCGAGAAAGGACAGCTGCTACTGGAGCGGAGGGCTGTGTATCCTTTTGTACAAACTTGCTGTGCCGGTTCGCTGGGTGGATCTTGAAGAAGCTTTCGGTAGAGATTCAAGTGGTCTATCAAATATTTTTTGCACATGCTGACACTTTTGGACGACAAGTACGCAAAACTTCTTTATTTCAACGACTCGTACGTGGTTCAGAATCTGCAAGCATACGCAGACGCTGTGTTTGACGCTGGTGGCCTCTTGCAAAACGTTTGGGCATTTATTGATGGGACTGTACGGGAAATATGTCGTCCTCGGCCTCGTCACACAAAGCGCGATGGCAAATTTATGAGCCAAAAATCTGTGTATAATGGCCATAAACGCAAGCATGCTCTCAAGTATCAAACACTAACAACCCCAGACGGTCTTATCGCTCACTTGTATGGACCATTTCCCGGCAGAAA